CGGCCCCGGCCGCGCTCACGGGCCCCGCCGCGCTCACGGGCCCCGGAGACGTGCGGGCGGAAGCACTTCCCGGTGCCCGGCGCCGTCACAGCCGGCGGGGCGGGAGCTGCGGGCGGGTCCGGGGCTTTGTCGCGCCGGCTTGGGGACGCCTCTATACCGCCGGTCTTGGTCGAACATCTCGCTCAGGAGCCGGGGCGTTTTCCTGGCTTGCTGAATCCAGTGAGGGTTTGCTGGTCAGCCAGCATTCGGGCTCTTGAGATTGAAAAGTTTGGTCGGAATTCCCAGGCATGTGCACACCTTCCCACCACCCTTCTATCAGATCGTAGAATCATTGAACAGTTTGGGTTGTAAGTGACCTTAAAGATCATTTAATTCCAACACCCTTGCCGCGGGCAGGGACGCCTTCCACTGGACCAGGTTGCTCAGAGCCCCATCCAGCCTGGCCTTGAACAGTGACAGGGATGGCCAACCCGTTCCTGTGTACTACCACCCTCACAGTAAAGGATTTCTTCTTAACGCCTAAACCTACTGTTATTCAGTCTGAAGCCATTCACCCTTTCTCTTCACTAAAGTTCAGGATGCAGAGTCCCTCTCCACCTTCCCTGTCGGCCCCTTGACATACTGGAAGGCTGCTCTGTGGTCTCCTCTCCTCGAGGCTGAACAGCCCCAATTGTCTCAGCCTGTCGTTGTAGGAGAGATGCTCTAGACCTAGTCACACTGATAAATGCTGAATATCTGTTTTGTGGGATAAGTATGTGCTGTCAGTATACACTTTATAACATGTGCTAATTTTACAGCTTTATGGGTGTTCTGCTATGCCTTCCTGCAGAGATATATTATTGCTAATACAGAAAAGCCTTAACACTTGGTGTTCCCATGTCACAGTATTTGCATGGGTATAAGACAGTTTTGAGTGCTTGCACCACACTAATACAATTGAGGCATTTTTGAAGCACAGACAAGGCCTCTTATGTGAGGGAGAGGGAGCACACTTAAAAAGAAACCAGGCAGGTTCTGTGAGGCCTTACAGATATGAGCTATTTCTACAGTAGTTGATGCTTACTGTCTGCCTATGAAAAAAAAAAATTCTTCATCTATGAAAACCAGTAAGTACCAAAGTTCCTCTGTCTTTTCGAATTGATATCGTATCTAGGACTCTATGTTTGAGTGATTGTGGCAGTAAGTACCTAAATATGCAGAAGAAGACATTTATATACCTGCAACTTCTAATGAATTCTTAGTACAGTAAAGGTAGTTGTGCTGTATTAAAACTGATATTAAAAATGATCTCTTGTGTGAAATGTTTTGTAATGCTGTAAAAATAAATTAAAAGTTTAATGCGTGGTATACAGTCTTTGTTAAAGAAAGAAGAAAGCAGTCAAGGAACATGAAGGAACAGAACCATATAAACTTTCAGTCAGAGGCATTTTGCCTCATAAAACATTTTTGACCTCAGGAACAGACTACTGAGGGTAAAGTGCACGCCCCTTCCTAAGCTGGAGCTTTTTGTTGCCTGGCTAAGGTCTCCCTAGCACTCTGCCTTACTCAGGGTGCAATATAAATGACTGTATTTTAGCAAAGATATTACCATAAAGGATACAAAAGTGGTTTCTTAAGCAGAGAGGAAAAAGTGGTTTACAAAAATAAGAGGAGGATATTTTCAGAAAGCAGAAGAACCTCCCATGGTGTCTAGCTACACAATGCTTGGGAAGAGCAGCCTCTGGAGAACTTCAAAGGGCTTGTTTGAAGGTTTGCTTCTCATTTCACTGTACATTAAGAAAATGATACAAGAACTGTTCAAGTGTTGAGCACAAAATAATGTTTTCATCTTCTGATTGCATGACCAAGATCTCTGTTCACAATGCTTTACTTGCTGCCTCAAATCCGATGGCATAAGAGGGATTCAGACCACCTACTGTCCAGGGCTGCCAGACAGACTCTGTATAGAGTCATATCCTGCAGTATAGGGCTGCCATGTACAGTAGGCAGTTGCACGCAGAGCCAAGTCTGTATGTGGAGAGTGCTGGAGAATATTGCTAGGAGGCATAATATTCTTCATTGCTGGTCTGTGGAGCCATTTGAATCTGCGATTTCATTCCCAGACAAAGGAATCTTTTAGATAAGAATGTTTTCCTGGTCAAAAGAAATAAAGATGGATTTGCTTTTAAAAGTAATATATTAAGCAACTACTCTCCGACTTCAGTTTGGGCCAAGTGCTGTTATCTGGAAAGTGTCCAAATCAGAGATCATCTTTCATATCCATTTCAGTTTCTGTGACATAAGTTCAAACCAGTGTTTTAGGATTCTGCTGCCCTTGTTGTTGGGCTGTAGAGAAGCTACCAAAAACTTAACATAGAGCCTGTGTCTGCATGTAATATTCTAGTCCTATCAACTTCAACCCAAATGTAAAATTAGGACTCGTTAAAGAGCAACTATTTTAATGATTATAATTTTCACCATAATAATGGCTTATGATTTTTTTTTGTATTTTATGATGTTCTCACTCATATACCCTGAGCAACTCCAAACATGGTTTTGCTGTGCCTATAAGGACAGTAAATATCCTCAGAAGTGAGGGAAGAGGATAATTGTTGCTTTTGTTCAAATAATTTTCTCTAAATCAGTTGATACACTTGCAAGGCAATATGAATAATTTTGTTTAAAAATAAACATAACTGGTGAAATTTCTGGATTATCATCTGTTTTCCTCCAATAAAGAAGAGTTTGCTCCCTCACAAGTCTCCTCACATTATTCCTTAAGCAGTAGTGCTTTGTTACAGCTCTGAGGGTGACAGATGGTCTTAGGCGAAATGTGTTAACCACAGAAGGACTTTCATTCTCCACCCTGTCCCATTCAGTGTTTATGTGTTCATTCAAGGAGAAATAATGGGACTTTATGGAACCTTTGCCAACAATAAACAGACATGGCACAGTTTTACTGTTACCAAGCTGTGGTAGATAACAGCATGGCACATAACTTTTTTAGTATGTGGCCAACACTTAAGGCAGGTGAGTTTAATTCAGCAGAGATTGTATTTATAGACCAAAGGAAACAGTTAATGGCTGTGATTAAGTGAGGAGGACTGGGTGCTTGTAGAGTTTTTTTGTGGGACAGGGGGGTTTTTGCAATGGTGTTTTCTGTATCCAGCCAGGCATTTTCATGAACTATGAAAGCATCCATTTAAAGGGAAGCAGGGCCATCTGTGGTACTACTATATAAGATGGGATAAAATAGACAGGATCAGATCCCAAGGCATCAGAGCAGAGAGTGATACTCCATGCCCTTGCTCAGCAGGAGATGAACACAGCTGTTTTCTGGACCAAGGGGAAGCTGGAGTTGAGCAATGAAGACCTCTCTGCCTTTACAGGATTGTCTTGCACAGCCCTTTGGTGCTGTAGGTGATAGGACAGCAATGAGAGCAAGATGGAAGTGGCTCAGCCTCGCTGCTTGCCTCTTGCTTCTGTCATCTGTGACAGAAGCAAACTTCAGCCTTCAAACTTCAAAACAAATATATGTTGTATGTATTAATGGCACAGTCTGCTGGGGCACAGAGAAGCAGGGTCATGCCTACGGGGTTTCATACAGGTAGCAACCAACTTCAGTGGTTTGCCACAGCCCAGCCTCTGAATGTTCACGGAGTGGTCAGAAAAAATGATCAGGAAACTACTGATTTCAAAATGGTTTTATGTGGTGGGGTGGCTGCCAGGTGCCCACCACACCACTCCACCATCACACTCCCTCACTCTCCCACTCTCCCTCCTCAGCAGTACAGGGGGAGAAAAGAGAATGAAATCCTCATGGGTTGAGACCAAGAGAATGAAATCCTCATGGGTTGAGACCTAGATATGGAGGCACAGTCGTCTCACAGACTGATTGAAATGGCATTGCAACAGCTTAGACACTGTTGGGACTCTCATTACCTCCATAAGCTAGGGTCAGTGTGTGGGTTACTATAATTACAATATAGGTTTACTATTTCCCATAGGATAAAAACATTAAAACATAAAAGCATTAACAGAATATGGGGAAGTCAGGTACAGTGTGATAGTCCAGCCTATGTGTGGAGTGTTTAAAACCTGATGGGGCTTTTTGGTTCTCACTATGCAGTGGGTCCTACACACCCTTTCTTGATCTTGACAGGCATGGTCTATCATAATTTCTCTACTTCTCTGAAGTTTCCTTCTTGACATTCAGCTCAGGAATATTGCCCTTGGCCCATCTCATATTCCTTTAAACACCAAAGAACTAGTTTTGTAATCAGTTGTTTCTGGCATGAAGATGGTTATCCTTTCCCGTGTTTTATGTGATGGGCTGTTATGCCTGGCAGCTGGTACTCTCCCCGTAACTGTGACAGAAGATAAAGGAGTAGCAGGACTTATTCCAGGGTATCACAATGCAGAAACATCATCCTGATAATTTTTTCTGTTTTTTCAGTTTTTCAGTTGCTTGTCTCCAAAGAGACATTTGGAAGTCTCAGCATACTCTTGACATTGTGACTTCAGACCCAAACCCAGAAGCAGACATATCATGTCTTCTTTGGTCTCTCACTACCCAGCATCTCTCCTTCAGCCTTCAATTGTACTGGGACTCCAAATGCTGACACTGAAAATTATTTAAACAGAACAGTACCAAGTTTCTCTCCTTGCCCCAGAATAGCTGTGGGCAATCTGTGTCTTCTTGTATTGGGCTTTCAGACATTTCCCCTGGTCCTATTTTTCCTGAGCAAATGGTGTCATATGGGACTAGCTGTTTGGAAGGAGGCATTCCAAATTGAAGTTTATATGAACTCTATGTCTTCATCAGCCAAATGTGCATTTCTGATGCCTGTGGATAATTTTTCAGCATGCTTGTTTGATGACTTCTCTTGGGGATTGCAGAAAAATAGCTTGGAAATGGAACATTTGCAAAGAAGCGGATGCTGGCA